ATATTACTTTCCCCAATAAATGCGTCAATCCCCGCCGTGACACGAATCCACTGCCCATCGTTTGTAATCCACTAAGCTACGGAGACATCCAAATTATGTCTTATGCTACAGGATTTCATCATGAGCTGAAATCAGTTAGAGAACCATTGGAAAACCTGGGAGTCCCTGGGGTTCCAGTGACGAGTCGTGACCAGTAGGCTGCAGCAGGTCGGGTGTGACGACAAATACTCGCCACCGAAGACATTGGCTAGCGGTTGCGCCATATTGTGAATTGGCAGAAGTTGGAATACATGGGCCATTGGATCGGATCCCAGTGGCTTAATGGTATACGAGCCAGCTAGCCTTGTAACCAGAAGGTCCTGGGTTCGAATCCCGGTCGGTGCGTACTGCTGAAGAGTCCCAAACTAGGACGAAACAGCTGTTCAGTACTCCCAGGTTTTCTAATGGTTCTCCTGTAACCAATCAACCAAATCCCTACAAACCAATACTTGAATATGTCTTATGCAACGGATATCAGCAGGAAAACTACAATTCACTTGGAATGTTTGTACATTCGCCTGACAAGGCCCAGAAATTCACGTCTTGGATTCCATTGGTAGCCACCGGCAACCAAGCCATCTGACTGCTTGACTGTTAATATTTTAGGTATAATACTGATGGAAATGCAAAGCTTAATTAATCTGAATAGTGTAAATATGAAGAATTTACAATCACCCAGTATGCATGCATTTACACAGTCCACCCAGTTAATGAAAAAACAGTAGTTACAATAACGTTAAATTGGGGACAAGAAAAGTCAAAGGAGTAAATATATAAGTGAAGGGGCATCTTAGTCAACAGGGAAATAAGTCCATGAATTATTTATCGTTATAATGCATCATACAATAATTGTATTTGAGAATTTATTATACACTTCTCTCTTATATGGACAGAGGAAAAAGAAAGAATAGTAGTCATAATAGTAAATATTTATCCTGTTACACCCTTTCTGGAATGCCTTCAGCCCAGTTACAGTTAAGTTTAGAAAAAGGGGAAACAATTCAATCCGTTTTATTTGTCACACTTAGATGATGATGGTCATTTAATGGCAAAAGAAAAAAAAGAAGGCATCCAATGTGAGATTCATCAAATCTCTTAGAACATGGAGAAGACAAGGGTAATGAGCATAGTCAACCAACCAACTAACAAAACAAGAACAATAAAAAGAATCACCAATCACTGTCAATGGAAGAAATTTACAAAAGTGATCACTTCCTTGACTTATCTGGTCAGGAGGCATCCTTCCATCTACAGATAACAGCACGGATGAGGATATCGAAGCAAGAATCGGAAAGACAAGACAGACCTTCATCACAGTGAAACCAGTTTGGAGATATTCTGCACTCACCATAAAGAACATAATCCGTAATTTCAACACCAATTTTAAGTCAGTCAATTCTTCTATACCGGTAGGAAACTTCAACGGTGCATCACGAACGGCATTCCTAACAGGTTGCAGACTTTTATCAACAGCTGCCCCTTTTGCTAGCTCCATACTGAAGATCACATGACCGATCGGAAAGAATTATCAACAAGAAACGCTGGGAATTAACCTACAAAAACCTACCGCTCAATAAATATGGCTGAAGAAAATGAAGATGGATTGGGCACACACTGAGAAGTCAGTTACATGACATCACCTGCTAGACCATTCCTAGAGTGCAGGCCGAATGGGAAACAATGAGTTGGGCGTGAGTGTGAGGTGACATAGAGGAGACTGTGTGAAAAAGAAGGTAAGAGGTCATTGGTTATCATGTGGCTAGCTGAGGAGGGCAACGTGAAGATGTGCTGTTGAAGGCCAATGTTCCACTCGGAAACCAAATGAACAATAACAATAATATAATGCATTCAAAAGAAGTCTCCTGGACAACTGAGACCTAACTAAATGATGACGTAAACACCACCACCCTTTACGTATATTCTCAAACCCTCTGTTATCATAATCCTGTAATCCTATCACATTCTTATTAAAATATTTATCGACTTTATCGACTTATTACGCTTAAAAATTACAGCACCAAAGTGATGTTTGAACTGTTGATCGGTGGTCCGTCAGCTGAAAATCAAGTGTTCTATAATGTTTCATTTCCCTGGGTTCTGACTGAGTCACTGCGCTTCAAACTCTGAAGCTTCAATTGAGACGGTGCTGTTTTCATTGGCTGATAGCTTCCCGCTCAACCCTTTCTCTTTTCTGAGCTTAATACATAGAGACAATAAACTAGACAAGGTTCAGAGAGTCTATCAGAATCTAATCCGGATAACTTATATGGTAGGCGAACATGGCACTGTTGAAACGCCGATGTGAAGGCTGTTTAACTTATAGACTTCAACAGAACATTTTTCGGTAATACTGAGACTTCATGGGCGACAGAAAACGCATAAAGATGGCTACCCCTGTGTCCGAGTAGTGTCCAAATATCTGGATCTCCTAATCATCCATTTGCAGATTTACACTTTACAAGGAAGAGGTGTCGACAGTTGGGAGTGTACAGACGATATAATCATTTTAGATATCGATAATGATTACTGTATGGCGCATATTTCAGTGCATAAAACTCATATTTACTGACTAATCCAAAAATTTTAAAATGTCACGTGCAAGACGTTATTTACTATCTGGTGTTCCACCAAATTATCTAATAGAGCCCTACAGGAGATCAGTCGCGAACCCAAATGGTTCAGTGGGAACGTCTCTAACTGTGGTACAGGGTGATGCGGGTTCAAATCTCAGAAGGGACATGATTGCAGATACTCCTTGCTGACTGGTGAACCCCCAACAAACACGAGACCCAGGTCAGGTAGGTCTTCTTTCCTACCATCTAACCTAGCTTCATAATGTATAAAATTGAGCAATACTTAAACAAATCAATATGCGAGCCTAAGACATAATAACAGAGAGAAAGATCAGCCGACAAGGCAGAGATATTCCATTATTTAGCAGGTGGCGGTTGGCGGTGGAATCCGAAATGCGTGTTTCAAATGACTCAGAACTCTTCAGAAATATTTCTGCATTCCCAATGGGTGATATTATCATAATCTCAATACTAAGAGATGAAACTCCATCAGGGAGCAAGTATTTCGCATCTACTAAAACCAGGCAACGGAAAATTCATTAAATCACATAGTTTACACCGATGCAATATCCAGTTCTGGTTTGCATGGGTTTCATTGTTTACAGGCGTAATCACAAGCTGACATCAGTCACACAAACATTAGAAAACCTGTAGGGAGTACTGAGACTATACAATAGTACTCATCCACCAGGATTCGAATCCAGAACCTTCAGGTTACAAGGCAAGCTCGCAGACTATTCAACTACTGGGACTCAATCAGATGACTCTTGAATCCCACTTTCCAGTGCACAATATATATATATAGCGCAACCGCCGGCCAATATCACAGGCAAGTAACTGTTCATTTACCTGACTTAATGGAGCCCGCTAGTTACGACTTCTCACGAGAACTTCCTGTGTAGAGCCAGTCCCTAGTGAGAATCAGATTAGTTGTCAAGTGTTTGTTTGAAGGGATTTGACAGATATAAATGAGGAAGCAGATAAGTGATAAAATTTATCAGAGAATCTTGATTAGTAATTATTTAAAGGAAATTTGGTAAGACTTACCCGAAACAAGGAATCCATTCGAGTGAAGACTGAATAAAGCGATTTGGAATACTCTTCCACTTTTCCAGTAGTTGATAAAAATTTATCTTCAATAATTAAAAGAAAACAGATAGAAGCCGCCTGAATAACATTTGAAGTAAATATTTAATAAATTTATATGAACTCTGATCAAGGCTTAACTAGATAGCGTGGCAATAATTGGATTGTGAGTTAAAAACAGACTCAAAGCGGCCTGCTTTACTCACTGAGCTACCAGAATTTCCAACCGTGAAACTGTATTTCTTCTGTATCTCCTATTGTTTCATTCGTGCAATTATACCAGATGACCACAACATGAAGGAGTGCGTCGCTGGCACAGCGGTTGCGATGCTCTCCGACCATGCGTATGGCCCGGAGTTCGATCCCCGGCCACAGACGCACTCCTTAACCTCGCTGAGCCAGTAACAAGACTGATAAAGAGAAAAGGTTGGGCATGAGGCTAGCAACTCCATTCTGTAAAAATAATCACCACTGCTACGTAAACTTGAAGTCTGTAGCTTGAAGCCCCATGTTCCACTGGGAATGTGAAAGAACAAAAAAAACTAAATGAAGTCACCCGCTTATTTAATTAACCTCCAACTAAATATTATGCAATTATTTGACGACATAATGAAGAAAATACTTAGTAAATAGGTTTTTCCTTCAGATGCAGGAACGCTTCGTCGTCCGATACACTTTAGATTATTACTTTATATGAAAACCGCGCATAAAGAGGAAATATTCTGGAAGTAAATACTCTGAAGGTTTCGACAATTTATTAACCTTTGTTGCCTGTTTTAAATTGGTATCGGGAAATAAATGTTTCCAAAATTTCATTTATGAATCCCATCTGGAATGGTAATTTTGAGAACACTGAGTGATCAGTAGGAAGCAACCGATGGCATGATTCTGGTCCTTTGTATCAGTTGTGATTGGATTCTATCAGTCAGTGATGCAAAATGATCACCAAACTAGGTAACCCATCATCATGGTGTACTTTGAATCGGTGTTAGATGGTTCAAATCTAATACTGGAGTATACAGTGCATCTATTACAGTCCTATAGAAGATCACCCTTGAAACCTACTAGCTTGGTCGTAACGTCTTCAACAACAGTATGGATTTATGCAGGTTTAAATCTCCGAGATAACATCAATTCTTTTGAAATTTTTAGATGTACTTTACCAGCAAGCATGAAATTTAGGTACAGAGCTTTCTACTGATTACATCCATCCTCAGTTCTAAAACATCAGGTTGTTTGTCTTCTGAACAAACAGTATTTAAATTTTTGATTGACTGAAACTCTTATAAATATTCTACTTACCGATAATACTCTTGTCATTTGCATATTTTATCATAATGCTTAGATTATTGTACATTTCACTGAGACAGTCCTTGTTTGAATTGAAAACGCTCAATGCAGTTGGATAGGATAATAACTGTTGTAATAGATTGTAAATTATTCGATTGCATCGCCTTGTTAAAGCATAACAATGCGGAGATTGAATATCTGATGTCTAAGAAATAAAAACAAAGACAAGTAGAAGGTGTAATCTTAATGAATTAAATATCAATGAAAGACAATGAATCGTTATACACAAGAGATAAACAGATGACAGAAGGTAATCAGCAAAATACAATCATTTTTTGCATAATTTCATTTCATCAGTATAATTCATTATACATGTGGATAATGTATTCAATAAGCATGAAGACCAAGGTGCTAGTGTTAAATCATCCAGTGCTTTTATATGGCTGAGAGATTTGGAACATGTGTCACTAAAAGAATTTCCAACAGGTTGTACACTGTCATCGCTAGCTGACTTTCTCTAGCTTCATATTGAAGATACTGTATAGAAAGTTAAATCTTCCTCTTCCTTACTTACTGAAGCCTATGTCTCTCAAAGTGCTGTTCTATCTCCTCCTCCTCCTCCTCCTCTTTTTTTCTTTCTTTTTACATGACTGACTTGCCTCATTCAGAAGAAATCTACTTTGCTGACGGCCTGACATGCTGCCTGGTTGCCAATCACTTCCTGAGCTAGCTGTTCCAAACTGACTGAATAGCTTTGTGTCCAACATTAGCTAGTGGTCTAAGCTTAGTGCTCTTACGTTAAATCCCTCCAATAAATGTCAGCTAGTCAATTTCGAGTTCAGGAATAAACGTGATCTTAATGAACTCATTAGTTTATATGACTCCTGTAGCTTTGTCAGCACTGATATAGAAGGTAGATCAAGCATAAAATACCTTGGAATACTTCTATCCTCACACCTATCTTGTTTGGTCATTCTATACTTTGTCGATTATCAAGAAAATGCTCCGTCTAACCACCATCCACATTAAGAAGTTAAGACAATGTGGAATTACTCAACCTATCCTTTTAGCAATTTGTTAACTCTTGCATCTGACCTGTTGTTCTTGATTACTGCTCCCCCTTAGTCCTTTCTGTGCTACTCAAAAAGGACAATATTATATTGCGAAGAAGGGTATTAAAGGTTGTCAGCACGGCAAGTGGTTTGGCACAAGTGAGTCAGTTCGTTACTATCATAATCCATAAACACCTAAACACATACGAGGAATGGTCTAAATCCACGCTGACTGACTCTCAGCACCCGCCCTCTACCTTGAATCTCACCAGATAGGACTAGAAGTCATTAGAAAAGATTGTTTGCTCGTTCGCACAACCAAATAAAGAAACTCAACCATGCCATATTTGGCCAGCCCACCTACGTCCTATGTGATAACGATAGTGTTAAACGTGAAAATTACGACTTAATGTGTCACTGGCATTCAACACTGACTGAATTATTCTCCTATATTTGTAATTTTATGGTGACAATCACTATCCTAATTATCTTATAAGATTCTGTCATTAATACTAATATTATGAATTTCCAAGAGTTGATTTGCCAGGATTTGTTTTTCGAGTTTGACCACGGATTGATATCAGTTAGAGAACCATTGAAAACAAGGGAGTACTGGACAGCCGTCTCATCCTAGTCTGAGAATCACTGGCAGTAAGCACACACTAGCGCTCGGACTCAGGACCTTCAGGTTACAAAGCAACCTCGTATACCATTCAGCCACTGGGTCCCGATTCAATGACCAGCTTATGAATTCTAACTTCTACCAATTCGTGATTTTAGCGCGACCACCAACCACTGTCATCGGTGGGAAATCCATCCTCACTCCCAACTGTATGAACCTCAGTACCTGTCACTGAAACACGCCAGAGTTATCCATTAGGCTTCTGGTTTATTAGACTCATACCTTATGCAGTGGATATGATTTGGATTTATTTATCCATGCTTGTGATTTACAGCTGATATACTTACGCTGAACTAATGATCACCTTAATTTCGGTATATGAGCTCGTCAATGCAATGTGCCTCATCATGTCTAAAATTCGGAACATTATCTCACTATCACTCGATTTTGATGATATCATGGTTTCAAGCAATGTTAAATGAGACGGACTGAATTGTTACACATTACACAGACGTTTGAAAAGATTCACGAAAAGTATTGTCAAAATCTGTCTTCTTCCAATAACTAAGATCACATAGCTAGCCACAAAGAATTAGCATAACGAAACTCTGACAGGGAACTAATCAAGAACCTATTGCTCAAAAAATATTCCGAAGAAAATGGAGACGGATTGGACACACTACCAAGGAGACTCTGAATGACACTGCGCTCCAGACCATCACTCGAGTGGAACCCCAATGGGAAACGGAGAGTTGGGAATGTGTCTGAGGGTGACATGGAGGAGATCATGTGAGGAGTTGAGAGCTTACGAGCAGTAGTGAAGCCATCTAAAGCCAACTGGAGAGAACAGGATGTAATGAAGATTTGCTGCTGAAGCCCTTTGCTGTACTAGAAACCCAAGAGGAAAAAAGTAATAACACGCCAAGCATCTGTAATTAACTATGGCGTTCTGGTACATCGATCCAAAGATCAAATTTGCAACTAGTCAGTGGAAGGTTGAAATATCATCTAACCCACTAAAACTTGATCAACCAGAAAGTATCACTAGACTACGCACATTAAATACACGACATCTATCCGGTACATGAAAGTGAATATGGCTGACGAAAAGTGAAATTTTAATCAACAATCCTTTTGTACTGTTTTTACAGCTGATGATGAAGTATACTTATTGTGTGAGGACTGACTAAGTGACTGGTTTCAGCACAGAACTTTACACCAGTTCAGCTTGTCACACTCCTTCCTTGTAGGACACAAAGCATGAAAAGAGAGTAAAGCGAAATTCAAAAGAGACATCATAAACAGAAGTGTGAGTGAAGGAAAAATGCGCAAATCATGCAGTCTTAGCGAACTTGGTAGATACTGAACACTCGATAAAACCTGACCAGGCGTTCTCACTTATTTACCGCCTTCCAAGTAATGCATCCAGAGGAGCTCGACTGTGTCTTCTGTCAGTAGCTGTAGTGGTAGCAATCAATACCAGAAAACCGGTGCTCTTCATACAGAAGTATGTTCAACCACTATGTTTGCAAATACAATTGGCCCCTACCGTGGCAGAGGTTATATATATTATATACAATATATATATATATATATATAATGTTTTGCAGTAAGTTAGTAGTGTCATGACTTAAACTTGCTCGACAAGTCACTGTTAGTGTGACACAAAGCACAATGAACAGGTTAAATCGACGTCTGTATAATCTGCTGGACTATTTGAATCTTCATCCAACCCATGTGCATCATATTTTCTTTCATTCTTATTGTTCTAGCCATTCAGTCATATCTGTGAGTTGCAAAAAGTATTCAAGAACATTTTGGATTGTCTTTTAAAGGAATGGTGCGCATTTCTTGGCGATGAAGCAAACACACTATGAGAGATTAGCTTAAGCTTCAAATGGAACCACATTGTATCACATGATATACTATAGATTTCTATTTTGGATTAGGAGAAAATATCATGCAAACATTTACGCTGAGAATTCTGTATATTGTATAAACAGTTAGTCGAGAATAAAGCTGTAGCTATTATGTTTCAGACGAATGTGAAGCGTAAGTTAATATGGCATGCCAAAGTGAAATATTTTATGACCTCAGCTTTATTTAGTTTACTTCATACACTAATATCAGCTAAATTGAAATGATATTTGGGATCCCCAGTAAATAGAATTGCCTCTCGTCACTTAGTAAGCTCTACCAAATCCTACACGCCTGTAAGAGTATCATAATTAGAAGAATATACTTCCTCACCAATACATTCACAACCATCCGTTGTCGTAGCATCGCAGACTGCTAATCTATTTTATACTTTTGCTTGAGATGTCCTTCTATTATTATTATTATACCCTTGCTTTCTGAGTGGAACATAGGAAGTCACTAGCACCTCTCCACTTTGTCCTGATTTCGCGGTTCACTTCGGCTAGCCCCACGACTGTCCATATGCTCTCATCTCCTCCTCACGCAAGCTCCCTCCTTCATGTCACCCTTTAACACACTCCTAACTCGCCGTCTCCCATTCGGAAGGCACTCGGTCGGTGGCCTGGTGCGCAATGTCACCCGAAAGTCTCCACAGTGTGTGTGTGTGTGTCAGATTCATCTCCATTTTCTTCGGAATATTTCTTGAGCAATATATTCTCGACTAGTTCGTTCTCAGAGTTTCTTGCTACCACTCCTTCCTCTTGTCGGCCATCTGATATTCAATATGGAGCCAGCGACCCATATAGAAAAACTGGCTAAACAATGGTGTTGGAAATCTTGTTCTTCATACTGTGGAGTGCAGCAGATTTCCAAATTGACTACAGATTGATAAATGAAAGTGTACCTTTCCTTTCTGATTCAGACTAGTTTTGACATCCTCATCTGCGTCTCTCAAAGTTGAAATAAAGAGTGTGGCTTCGTCCAAGTTTATTCCGTTAGCTGTTGCTGTTACAGTTCGTTAGTTAGTTAGTTAGTTAGTTAGGCATCTTCATCATCTCCGCCTTTTCTATTTATACTTGAAATCGTATCCACTTCGCCAGTTTCTTCTGTCAACTTTTTGATTGTCATCTCCTAACTTTGTTCCGTTTAATACACAAACAGATCAGGTGTCTGTTCAAAAGCAATTAGTTATCATGATTAGATATCCTGGGAAGTAAAATTTCTCAAAAAAAAAAAAAAATTATTCACTTACAACATTCTTTTCAGTCCATTCACTGTTGATATTTGATAAATAAGCATTCATTTCGGATAATTTGGATGTTAATACTAACCAATAGCAGTCACATAGTAAATTCCATGTTCTTTGTATATCTTGATTTATCCTGTTTTCAAAAGTTAAATAACACACGCAATTGTTATTTCAGAAAAAATAAAAATAGTTTTGTAAATAAAAACTAGACCTCGATTAATCACTACAGTGTAACCAATGCTATGTATCTACTTCTTAATACGGGTGCTTAGTGAAAGTCGTTCTCAATGGCTGGCGTAGATGCATCCCCTCCTAGTGGCTTATAATTTCCAATAAAACAATATTTTTCTTCGATATTACTTTTCTTTCCGCGTCGGTGGCACAGTGGTTAGGACTCTCGCCGACCATCCACATGGTCCGGGGTTCGAGCCCACGCCGACGAACACCTGATATCTATGGTCGGCCTGCAAATTTTGGGCTACCGATATCCACGCTGAAAATTTCATACTTGTACCAAAAGTACAGTGTGGAATCAAGCTGTAATCAAAAATAAATAAATAAATAACTCTGTTTACTGTCTCTGTTCTGCGTTCCTTGTTACTTTCTTCTCCTCCGCTGGCTTTATGTGCTCAGTGAAGTATGGCGACTCGAATTGCTGCACATCTATGCAAAGTAGTTCTATGTTGAAACCAGTCAGTCATTTAGTGGAAGTCATCAGCAGGCCAGCTGACTAGCCATCTTGATGCATTTTGGATTTATGTTATTTGATGACAGTCAGCCAGCAAAGAGTCTACAGCCGCCTAACATCAATTTGAAAGTGGATCTCACTTGCTCTGATTGTAGTTACATACTTATAACTCTAAAATTATACGACTAAATTTCAAGATGAATGGAAAATTAACTGCTATAATATCTGCAAAGAACAGCGGAAAACACGGAAAAGTTCTTCTTCTACCAATATATGATCAGCTTCATAAATGGTCATCAAGAAAGCAAGCATATTTGCATAAAACTGCATACTACTGAATGATTGAGATGAGTAGTTGCATACCACTCACAACATCAACTAGTAGTGCTTGTTAGACAAATCTGAACATTTAGAGACTGTCTCACTCATTCGCAGCCAGGCTCATCATCGGTGTACCCAGTCTTGCTCAGCTCAAAGGACAGCCGAATCAGTTGAAACCACCCGACTTCTGGTAAACTAAATTTGATTTGTCGTGTCGCCAGCTCGCTCATGTAGACAGCCAGAAGTCAGGTGGTTTGAACCGATTCCACTGTCCTTTGGGATGAATTAAACTGCATACACTGATGATGAGCTCGACCTTAAACGAGTGAAGAAGCCTCCAGGTGTTCGGATCATCTCGATTCGGCGGGTTAGCAGGCACTAGTGGTTGATGGTGTCAGTGGTATACGACTACTCATTTCCTCATTCAGTAGTAGAAATTTTTATAGAAATTTACCCCAATAAGATTTCTTAATTTATCTCAATGATGAACAGTAATGCAATGGGTCCACAAAATGTCAGAAAAAAAAGTTATGAACTGATGCAAACTTCTGTACATCTGAATAACCTACCTAATTATCATACATACTGTAAAGAAGAAAAGTCCAATGAGGCTCGAAGGCTACGGTAATGAGGACAAATGCATTGTGGACACATAAAGTAGGTATACCTTATTTTTATTTGCACATCGTTTGCAAACTGGTAGAATATTGCCACATTCGGTAGCCTGTTGGATTCTGCACAGTATTGTAACGTTTTTTTCACAGTTCATATCTTCGACTACTTTTTCCAGTGCCCCAAAACATGCTGCTACTTTTCTGAATTCGTTTACTGATATACTACTTATATCTGATTATAAGTGGCACTCAGCACAATACTACTTACTGACAGATTTTATATGGAAGTCACTACTCATATAAATCAGAAAGGTATACTATCGTGCTATTTTGCTTGATCATTATTTGAATGTGTCGAATGGGTCATTTATTGTCATCTGAATATTCTCAGTTATCAGAGGAAAACGCGGAGAAGTTTCTCGCGGAATTACAAATTTGCTTATAGTGGATTTTATTCTTTACTCATTCTTTCTACCCATTCTATTTAAGGATGTCAGTTTTTAGATGTTTAACACAATCCAACCTGACTAGCGAAAGGAGAAGGTAGATATCTCTATAGTTCGATAATAGAACATTCGATGAACTCAAGACACTTAGCTCTACTTGAAAAGTCTGTCAAAATCCTATACAACAGCTGATCAAACCTCTTAAAGGGATTGAGATCAAGACATCTAGACATAGCTGAAGCACTAAGTAACCATAAATTAAAGCTACCTCTATGAGTATGCAAAAGAAGAACGTCCAATCTTTTCCTTTATTACGACCATAATAAACAATCAACTTTATCCATAATTATTATCCTACTAAGTTCTTTAATACGAACTTCCTGTTTGTTTTGTTATTATTACATTTTTAATCTCTATCTGTCATCCCATTATTCGTTCTAATTGAACCCATGACTGGGAAAAGCTCTAAAGCTTTCGTATGCCTTTAATATATATATACAGCGATCTATCTAGTTGATGACTCCATAGGAAAGAAAGCCTTCCTTCGCGGGCCAACAATAAAATCCGTTTAGCATCAGATGTATTGCAAGGTAGAAGGGAATCAGTGTGAAAGGTTAGAAGTGGGATTAGAAGAATTTCGAACACATCAGGCAGGCGAAAATCCAAACGCCAATGCAAAAATCCATGTCCCTTATGACAACCTAACACTCATCACCCAGTGCTGCAGTCTAAATCTCAGAACCGGCATGAGTTCCTTCAAGGTGACTACAGATATGCCTTGCTCACCAGTGAGTGCCAGCGAGCACAACACTCAGGTCATAGGATTCCTGCCTATAGCCCCAAATGGCGAATAAGACAATACACAGTGCACCGTAATGCCAAGCCAACAAGCCTGTTAGTGGCTATATTCAAAACTTCACTGAATGATAGACTTCAGTCTACACAAACAATTGGCAAAAGTCGGAATTTAAGAGCATTGGGCAGCTACTCAATGACTGAATGGTCTACGGGCTTCCCTAGTAATCGGAATGTCCTCGTCGTGGGAAGTTACTGCCGTTGAGTCCCAAACAAGGTCGACAAAACAGCCATCCAGTACTCCCCGAAGCATTTCCAATGGTTCTCTTACTAACAGCGACATGTGATTAATCATGTAGCTAATCAAATCTCCGAAAACCAACACGAACTACATTCTTTGTATTCCAAATAGCTCGAGTAGCTAGCCAAAAATGGGACAGTTTGATGTGATTCAGCTCTATGAGTGGATGAACTGGACCTAAAGCCAGTAAAACCACCGCCCGGTGTTGAGATCATTTCGATGTAGGATGAAACCATTATTTTTTGAAGCAAACGCGCTTCAACTACTCATATGACATTATCAGTAGTATTTCGGATCAAAAATTTTTGTCCTACACACTAATCCTAATAAACTCCTAATATATCTTCGCTCAGTCAAAATTATACTCAGACATATCTTCACTTCATGTCATGCAAAATCATGTCAAAAACAAAGACAAAGTGAATACTCATCACATAGTCATTTTTTTCCTTTTGAGCTGTAATCAGGGGTCAGTCAGTCAGTCAGTCAATATTACCATTACTTCTAAAATAAATGTGTGCATTATAGGACAAAGGTCAAGTCACGAATAAAACCACCGATGCCTAACATCTCGCTACACACTACAAAAAAATGCATTATTTTTTTATGTTAAGCTACCAGTTCAATAAATTCAGTTTACTTAGTCATTACGTAATCATCCATGTCAATCAGACAGACTGATCCTATTTTCAGGTCAGCCCGATATATTACGTAATACGGAACTGTTTAACTCTTCATACTCTACCGACTGAAAATAATAAACTACCAACAGGTCATCATCAAACAAACAATTAATCGATAATGCACTCAAACATATCTTCACCTAATCAAACAGACAAGTGTAATCTCAGTCAAAATCATACTTAACAAAAACAAAAAAAAACAAAAGCAAGAGTAGAGTGAACATTCATCACATAACTGCGTGAAAATTGTTACCAGGGATTAGTCAGCCACCATTACTTTACTATCACATCTAAAATATATTTTCATTAATAGACAAATAAATGCTAAATAGTCAGATCTTGTAAAGATGAGTCATGCATAATTGAGACCGTTGTAAGTGTAAGACACATAACTAATTAATGCAATTAATGCATTCCTAATGATACTTTTTTATTGTGACCTGACATTAATGACTGACTGGTATAAGGACTTTACAGTTTCTGTGGAGATTGGATCGATTTATTGGTGTAGGTTCGCTTGCTTCACGCCCCTCCCTTTCTCTTTTCCAGGGTCTTGGATCAACTTGAATACCAGGCGGAAATCGACTAGCTGGAGGAAGAACAGGCTGCGAAGATAGGACTTCAGCTAAGCAGGGATATCTGGATGTGATGGAGAAAAGCAACTAACAACGCTAGTGACAATGGGCTTCAGTAACTGTCAATGGGAGGCATTTGAATCAGGTCATATGCTTCGCTTATCTGGCCAGACAGGATCGTTTCAACTACACGAGACAGCACAGATGAGAATGTCAAAACCAGCCAGGATGAGAAGGATAAGACAGACCTTCATCGCTTTGAAATCTTTATAGAAATCTTCTGTACTCCTCCGCAGCATAAACGAAAAGTTTAGATTTTCAATACCAATGTTAAGTCAGTCAGTCAGTTCTATTATATGGATCAGAAACACGGTCAGTGTGTCACAAAAGTATTTCCAACAGGCCGCTGAAGACTTCTGTCAATATCAACCTTCGCTAACTCCAAAATGAAGATCAAATGGCTGACTGGAAAGAATTAGCAACAAGAAATTCTGAAAACGAACCAACCAAGAACTCATAGCTCGACAAATATGCAGAAGAAGGTGCAGATGAATCAGACACACGATGAGGAGACCGTTGAATGACATTCCACGATAGGCAAATCACCGAGTGGTCAACGAATAATTTGGTTTTATTCCGAGGCTAACATAGAGGAGATCGTCTAAAGAGGGGGTGAGACATTATGAACAATCATAGGGTCAGCAAAAGGCAATCACAGAGAATGGGATAAGGTGGAGATATGCTGCTGAAGCCTTATGTTCCACTTGGAACCCAAGGAACAATAATTTCATAATAATATGTAGGCATCGCCATGGCATTTTACAGCACTGTATAACTGTATAGCATTGAAAAAAACGCTAAGAAAAGAATATTCTTTATTACGCTAGCAATAGAAAACAGTCTGAGTGAATATGTACCTTCGACAGAATTATAACCACTGAGAACCAGATTACTTCCAGAAGAATCCCTGCCTATCAGGCCACAATGTGCGACGCTTGACAATACATACTAGCTAGCCAGTTAGCAAAGATGATGTAGGTGGTAGGGCCGGAATGGCTGAGTAGGATTCGAAACTGCTACAGTCGGATTTGCATTATATTTCACTGGTCTGCTATTTTAGAGTTCCTGATAGGAAATTTAAAATTAATTTTGGGACTAGTTGGTTAAAACAAGAATATTTAATCAGGCCAGTATTCATTTTTTTGTTTTTTTAACGTAGACTATATTCATGAGAAAATAAATAAAACCATATTCAACCGTGTATTATACTTACCTATCAGTGTAATGAACACATTGTAAATTCTGTATCGACAGACACTTTTCATTAATTGGTATTGGACAGTAGGAGGACTGGTAACAATCACGATGTAAATCTAAGGCTTCTATCAAAGTCGAATACTTAAAACGATATTTAACATCGTGTGAATTGACTCCAGTCGGCTTAGAATTCTGAAATAAAAAAAATAGCAAATAATCACAGATTATGACATTTGCTTATCCTTGAGAGATTGAACACTGTGGAATTAATATCGTGTAGAAATCGTTAGCAAAGATTTAAACAATGAGTAATCTGAAATTTTCAAGAGTTTGTTTGTAGGAATTTGATTTGTTTCAAGTTTGAACACGGATCGATATCAGTTAGAGAAACTTCGGAAAACCAGCAGTGGAGTACTGGACAGCCACTTGCTTCGTTTGGGATTCATCGGAAGTACGAACCCAAGATCTTCCAGTCACAAGGTGAGCTCGTAGGCCATCCAGCCACTGGGACCCGATTCAATTGCCAGCCTATGAATTCTAACTTCTACCAATTCGTGACATATTTAACGTGAACAGCACTAGTCAATGTCATCGGTGAGCATTTGTCCTGACTATCGATCGGATGGACTCCACCGATGACAACTTCTCAGTGGAACTACAGCCAACTTCATCCTGTAGCCAGTCACTGGCGATGAAAACCAGGTTAATTTTCATGAGTTAGTTTTTGAAGTTACTCGACTGATAGTGGCTAGCATTCGAATCTAGGATACATGTGTGGTTTAACTATGAGTAAAAAAAATACCTCCTATTAATCTATCTCAGACGACTTCATAATTCTGATAGCTGAATTCAATTCATTCTAAGTCTGACAGTCTTTTACTCCGTGATTTCACTACACACAGGACAGGTCTAGTCAGATAAATACAGCTGTCTGAAATGCTTAACCTGCAGACACCTGAGGAAATCAACCTTAAAATAATCCTTTTCTTTGAAATAATGTGATAAACGGTGACTAGCAGTGGTATCCAGCATGAGAATTTCGTCTTACTTCGGACTTGCCACCTGTACGTGCCTGAGGCCGAACACTTCGGTTCATTCAATCAAAGGGAAAATCAGAACTGAAGTGAAAATGAATAATAATAACTGACACATGTTGCATAAGAGGTGACTCTCAGGGCCTGAGTGGTCTAGTGGATGACTCCATGGCATTTGAAACGAAGGGTACTAGGTTCCAGCCTCAATTGGAAAACCATCATTCGCCAGGGAATCCAGGGACATCCAGGTGATGAGTGTGAAATAAGATCAAATGAGCACCCTGGATTCAAATTACTGTCATTTTAGTTATTTGGCACAAAAGAGACCTATTGACAGATATTCATCATCGTGCTATTTTGCTAGTTAAGTCTGTTATGTAACCTAAATGCCTGTGTGTACGTATGAGTCTACAAATTCACATCAATATGCATATATATATATATATATATATATATATATATGCTAGTGAACTTTGTAGCCATACTTCTACCGATAATAAATATTATAGGTCAATACTTCTGATAAACAATGGTCTGCCAAATAAATAAATAATTTTAAAAAAACAAAAATTTTAGAGCTGACAAGATTTAATTTATTCTGTATAAAATCATATTTGTTTTAGGCGTATATGACACTTCATAGGTTTCAGTGAATATCCTTTCTCAATGAGTCTAATAGAAGCTGATTTAACTGGCTACAGGTTTGAACACGAATTGATATCAGTTAGAGAACCTTTGGAAAACCAGCATTGGAGTACTGGACAGCTGTTTAGTTCCGGTTTGGGACTCTACATCAGTACTCATTCACAGAAGTTCGAACCCAGGACTTTCCAGTTAGAAGGTGAACTCGTAGACCATTCAACCACTGCGACCCAAACCAGGACGAAACAGCTATCCAGTACTCTGGTGTTGGTTTTCCAATGGTTCTCCCTCTAACTGATGTCAACTCATGAACAAACCGGAAAAAATTAACAGTGAATAATTGTTTCATTCTAATCTAAAGCTCTTTTACACTGCACATCTAAAAGAAGTCACCAGAGATTTAGTCGAAGACAGTGATGCCTTGTGAGGGAGAAAGTTTTAATGTAAATGCTTTAGATAGGATCCAGTGGCTCATGATATTTAATTTTTGTCAGTTTGTGATGTAATACACATAAAGTTCTGTGTGTTCAGTGATTGGGTCAAGAGTTAGTATTTTTATCTTGTGTAGGATTATTGATTTTCTGGACTAACAAAACAAAGCCACAAATACCCTATCAAAATACCCCTCCGATTAGAAACCTATTTTAACAACAATGCCCAGGATTTTTGAGAATAAACGTTAATGGAAGTGCAGTTTATTGCTTCAGCTACTAGATTTCAGCTTATCACAGTAGCGTTTATACACCGTAAGTATCCACTTTGACCATTTCACCACAAATCTCAGAATTTATTAAAATCTAAATAATTCTGCTGAAGAAGTTAAAGCTTACACAGAGAAACATTCGGCCACAGTGTTAACTCTGCTTACAGCCTTGAAAATCCTACGTGACATAATAAAGGTCCTTCTCATCAGTTCAGTGATTCATAAGGAAGAAAGAATCTAATACAGGATCCAAGTTAGATCACGAACTGACTTCATTTGGTGAACCACTAAGAACCAGACAGTTTTGGACATCTAACTGTTTCGTTTTTGTTTGGAACTCTTCGTCAGTATGCGCTAACAACTCAACCAGAGGTCGAACAGTCATCAAATTTGAAATCACTTGAGTGCCTGCCAAGCAACACCCACAAATTAATACAGATTTATAAATTTCCAGATGAGACAAGAGGTTAAGTTGTGCCACAGTCAAAGGTTTTATAGTGAATGGAACGCAAGGAGTTGAGTAATGTTGTTTTAGAAAAAATAATCCCAGAAGCACAGAGTAAGCATTATCCTAAGCGTTTCAGATACACTGAGTTCTCAAGTGGCGAGAGAAACTGAACAAAGATCACAAGAATTTGAATGACTGCTTATAAGCCTAAGGGTCCCAGTGGCTTAATGGTTTGCGAGCTAGCTCGCCTTATAACCAGAAGGTCATAGGTTCGAATGGCGGTGGGTGCATACTGCTGAAGTCGGTAGAATGCTCGCCAGCTATGCAAGAGGTTCGGGGTTCGATCCTCGGCCGACGCACTTCCTCACCTTGCTAAGCCAGTGAAGAGAAAGGGTTGGGCATGAGGCTAGCAACCCCATTCCGTAAAAACAAACACCACTGCTACTGAAAATTAAAGCTTCTAGCTTGAAGCCCTATGTTCCACTGGGAGTGTAAAGAAATAAAATAATAAGTCTAAGGTGTTAAATAGATCGACAAAATAGTAAACTAAAAGTATATTACTAAGTGAAATGATATTTTAGATTAGCGATACAATAATAATATACAGTAAGCCAAGTAACTTACATCATTCCCCGTAGCTTCCAGATTTAACCATCCTGTCAGGCTTTTCAATCTGTCTAATAGATACGTCAGTTTTTCATCTTGAGCGTATTCAAATGAAAAATGATTATCATGGTACAGATGATATACAAGCCTGCATGACGATTCAAGAATACTTTGTAGAATAGCCAGAGACCTTTTTAAGTCCTGTAGATGTCAAAATTAAATAAAACAAATGAATGAATAGGTTTAAATACTGTAAACACATGAAATAGATCATAATCAGAGAGGTGGATAATATGTGTAAGGAAACAACTAACACATGAATAGACAGTTAATACGTTTGAAGGCTGTTTTCATCTGTATATGTGCCGCTTCCCATAAATGGTGGAAGATATACGCCCCCCCCCGCAATATTAAATCTCATAAGCAAAGATGAAGAGCACATGTATTAAATCACTTGACCCCCCCTTTCTAGTGCATCATGAAAGCTTCATCAGTGTAGGGAATCAACTGACATATCGATAAGGAGCCTAGCAACCAGTTCCAATAGTGTTAGGATTTGTGGACTACCAGTTGGAAATAAATGAGGTCGTAATCCTGTTTATTTGTTCGCCTACATATCCTCGCTCTCTAGAACTGCACAGACTCTAATCCTCAGATACTGGATTTATGAGAGATTGATTAAAGTAACTCTAGATTCTATGACATATCCAAATCAGCTTAAAACTTTGGAAAACTAGAAAGCACTTCGCCGTCATTTCATCCTACTTAAGAACTCTTTATCAGTGTTCATTCTCTACAGCAAGTTGGAATCCAATACCCAGTGGTTAACTACTTCTCTTGGTTCGTGATACAGAACGCCTAATATCTTTCTCGAACATCGAGTAACCTTCCCACCCACCCCCTCCTTAAACTTGACAAACTTAAAAACTGCTGCTTAATAGACCGGTAGTAATTACCAGAAAACCTTATAATATTTAGTAGCATCACTCAGGAGACCAGTATGCAAGAATACTGGAACTCCTTGAAAGCGGTATTGGAGGAAACCTGTGCAGCTGTCTTAGTAAGGAAGAAGAGGAAAGACAAGGAAAGGCTCTAAATGGACACTTGGAAGCTAATAGAAGATGGAGGATGGTGGGACAGATGAACCAATGCAAAGAAGGACAATAGAAGAAGAAGCTCAGTTCAACGTACATCTCACTGAATAAAGAGTGTTAGAAAAATAAAAGACAATTAACTCAGCAAGACACTGGCAACTGGAGCGGAACAGGCTACAGGTAAGAGGGACTTCACATCACTATATCAGATAAACAGGTAGTTATCGGGGAAGAAATCAGCACACTGAAAGCAATGAAGGTTATTGAAGGGAACCAAACAACCAAAGAGGAGGAGCAAAGAAAAAGTAAGGAGGACTACTTCAAACGACTCTCGAACAGATGGCCACCTACAACTCTCCCAGAAGTGCCACCAACAGCCAAAAAACAGTCTGTGAACAATAACCTTCCGTAAAAAGTAGAAGTCTTGTATACCATGAAGTTACCAGAAACCGGGAGGATGGTAAGTTCAGACAGAATTCCCACGAGAGCACTAAAAAGGGGTCCAGAGATCCCGAGTGGATGCCCTGATACCACCGATTCAGAAAGTTTGCAAGGAAGGAAAGGTACCTACTAACTGCAAGGAAGGCTACCACGTCAAACTTCTAAAGAAGGGAGACTTGAGTCTTTGCGGGAACTAGCACTAAATTTCAGTCCTATCCACACCAAGCAAAATATTAGGTCGTGTCATTCTTGATGAGATACAGAGGTGCTTTGAATGCGAAACTCACCCTCTACCAGAACAATTTGAATTGAGGAAAAAAATCATGTTGCAATCAAATTGGAACTCTACGCATCATCATCGAACGGAGTATAGAATGGTAAGCAAATCTCTACCTCAACTTCATCGATTTTGAAAAATCCTTCGACGGCGTTTACACTAGGTAATTTGGAAACTACTTTAACACCATGGAGTGTAGTGCCACAAATTTTTATCAACCCTGTTCAACAGCTATATGGTGATGTCACTGATTCACAGCAGAAAACTAAGAGAAGCATTTTGAGCGAAGACTGAAGTAAGAAAAGACTGCCTATTATCACTGGTGATGTTCCTGATTGTGGTGAACTTGATCATGCAACAGACTGTGGGCGGCCAGAAGATGGGAATACATTAGACCGATAAGAAGAGTTCTGGACTTCAAGGATGATATACTTCTTCTGGAGGCGAAAACCGGCAGATTTTCAGGAGATACAGTCAGCGGAGACAGGAATTCAAGTAAATAAAGAGAAGGCCGGGATGATGAAGACACCTGGTCAGCAACAGCAACAACAACAACAACAACAAGTACCACCCACCATCAACGGAAAAATTAGAAGGAAGTGACTCAACTACAGGTAACAGCCCGAATGAAGATTCCAAAGCAACTACTCTAAAACCAATTTAGAAATTTGCTGCACTCAGCATTAAGAGCAAGATTCAGATTTTCAACATCAGTGTCAAGTCAATACTTTTATGTGATAGGGAGTGAAGTGATAGAACATGTTGACCACTTCACCTACTTGGAAGTTGTATTAGCACCAACGGACTGATTGGCGATGAAATCTCAGCATGGATCCGAAAGCTCGAGCTGCTTTCGCTGACTTACACCATCTCTGGCGTAGGCGTGACATCCGGTTATCAACCAAGGTACGTGTGTACTGCTCATCAGTTCGCTCCGTCCTTCTCTATGGCTCTGAAACATGGCCAATACGCGTTGAAGACATGAAAAGGTTGACTGCTTTCGATCATAGATGTCTGCGATCTCTCTCTCACGTTAGGTGGTTTCACAAGATAAGTAATGTTGACGTTAGGCGTAGAGTGTTGGGCAAAGAGGGAAAATCAATCGACGAGGCTATAAAGTTACATAGACTGAGATGGCTAGGTCACGTGCTGCGCATGCCTAACCACCGCCTCCCCCGACGGGCTTTGCTAGCTGATATAGGTGAAGGTTGGAAAAGAGCCAGTGGTGGCCAAACAAAAACATGGCATCAATCCATGAAATCCTTGACAGTTAAACTGAGTCAGGTAGGGAGATGCAGACTTCCGGGTTGGGGCCCTCGGGACTCTAGGAATCAATGGCTGGAGACAATAGGTGACATGGCTCAAAATCGTTGTCAATGGCCAGCGCACATGTATTCAGTCTCTGTAGTCTTTCATATTCCTTTTTACAATTACCCATTCTGTTTCACTCTTATATTTGTCAAACTCTATTGATTCTCTTCACTCATCTTCTTGTCTACCTCTGTGTGCTATTTGGAACGTGGCAACTCGAACTGCTGCACTTCGGTGCCAAGTTCTATGTTGAATCCAGACAGACAGACAGACTTTTATGTGGTCCAGAGAATAGACGTCCAACAGCCTGACGCAAACTTTTATCGACAGCTGCCTTCCCTTTATACTTAAATTCAGGTGTCTGGTAAGGATCAGCAACAGCGAACTCTAGGAACGAACCAACCAAGTACATATTGGTCAATAAATATGTCGAAGGGAATGGAGATGCGTCAGACACATACTAAGGAAACCAGTGAGTGACATCTCGAGCCAGGCCATTGCTCAGGTGGAACTTGGATTGAGTGTAAAATGTTAATAACGTACAAAATAGTAAAAACTGGGATACTCTTACTTCAAATTTATAGATAAAATCATTTATTTCTTCAATCCATAAACCAATTTTCGTATTACATGAACATTTGTGCACATTTCTGACCACCAAGAAGTTTATTGTTCTCAATTCGAATTCTTTTAATACTGACTGGTATTCATGTTGGAATGAATTAACCTGAAACAATAGAGTACATTCATAATGAAAATACAAAATTCCTACAGAGTAAAAATACACAGGGACTCTAACAATAACTTCCTCGATTAAATAAACGTTTTACCAGCCAAAATAAGTATATATATGCAAAAGTACGATTGAAATGAGAAGTGCGTCACTTGTATGTACGGCTTTACTCTAGTATTCAGTAAGTGTAGAAGCTTAATTAGGCTGGGTTAAGTAAATAAACATAACTAGGCCTTGTATCTGCGCCTAAGATCTAAGGAAGACTCATTGCATTTAGACGCAGCCTGCTTTGAGTAATGTTTATTGGGGACATTAATTATACCACTTCGCTGCAAAAGCCTCCGTAAGAGTTGTGGAGAGTTCCAGTGGCCGAAAATAAAGAGTTCAAATCTGTAAGCCACAAGTACACCTCAAGAATGTAAGAAACATCTACATTCTTTGTATTCTCAATTAACTCGAGTAGCTAGCCAAAATTAGGATCGTTTGGTGTGATTCAGCTCTCTGAATGAATGAACTGGACCAAAGCGAGCAAAACCAACACCCTGTGTTGAGATCAATTCGATGTAGGCAGAAAGCATTATTTTCTGAAGCAATCGCCCTTTAACTACTCATATGACATTATCAGTAGTATTTCGGATCAAAACTTTTTGTCCTACACACTAATCCTAATAGACTCCTAATATATCTTCGCTCAGTCAGAATTATACTCGGCCATATCTTCACTTCATGTCATGCAAAATCATGTCAAAAACAAAGACAAAGTGAATACTCATCACATAGTCATTTTTTTCCTTTTGAGCTGTAATCAGGGGTGAGTCAGTCAGTCAGTCAGTCAATATTACCATTACTTCTAAAATAAATGTGTGCATTATAGGACAAAGGTCAAGTCACGAATAAAACCACCGATGCCTAACATTTCGCTACACACTACAAAAAAATGCATGAATTTACGATAAGCTACCAGTTCAATAAATTCAGGTTACTTAGTCATTACGTAATCATCCATGTCAATCAGACAGACTGATCCTATTTTCAGGTCAGCCCAATATATTACGTAATACGGAACTGTTTAACTCTTCATACTCTACCGACTGAAAATAATAAACTACCAACAGGTCATCACCAAACAAACAATTAATCGATAATGCACTCAAACATATCTTCACCTAATCAAAAAGACAAGTGTAATTTCAGTCAAAATCATACTTAACAAAAAAAAAAAAACAAAAGCAAGAGTAGAGTGAACATTCATCACATAACTGCGTGAAAATTGTTACCAGGGATTAGTCAGCCACCATTACTTTACTATCACATCTAAAATATATTTTCATTAATAGACAAATAAATGCTAAATAGTCAGATCTTGTAAAGATGAGTCATGCATAATTGAGACCGTTGTAAGTGTAAGACACACAACACACACAAGCTTCACTAAGCTTGTAAGAAACATCTATATCACGAAATGCTGGATTTCAGGTTTACAGAACTCTTTATCCGAGCAAGCACAGCGGTTGAATGTTCAAATCACCGGTGTGCAGTTGGTGATTTGGCTTTAAGACAGTATAAACAGTGCTTAGTTTAATGTGATTGTTGGTAAGGATATAAGAGTTTCAAAACAATTAAGCAACTGCATAGGAAAACGTATTAGCAGTGAAAAACGTGATGAAGAATGAAACTGTAAAATAGTTTGGCAGGTATGCAATAAGCATATGGATACCTGAGGACACTTGCTACTTCTATGTCTACTTGATATGTGAAAAAATGTGACAGCATTGGTAGTCATAAAAGGAAAAAGTACCTTATAACAGGCGGATAACTTATTTGGAGCAAATTGAGAAATGTTACCTCTTTAATCGATTCATTCTAACACTTCATGAACAGTGGGAATAAAGCAGCTGATCATCTAAAAAAGAGTATAAACTGCTGCCACATCCCCTCCTTTAACTTGATTTTGTCGTAAGACATCAGCAGAGATACTTAAAAAGTGATAGTAATTGCCTTGAGGTTAACTATTATTCCTTTGATTTTAGCGCAATACCAGGGCTTTAAGAATCTACTTCTCCACCAGTGTAATTAAATGTAATTGAAAATCAGAACGACTATGCAAAATCGAGTTGTTTTGCTAGGGTTTACTCAAACATTTTACAGTTCAATATCCTTTTTTAAAATAATCACGTTGACCGAAAATAATACAGGTAAGATTTTGAAACATATAAAGAACATCTGCTTGTAAAATTTATTTTGATTCAAAAATGAAAGAAATGTTGAAAGTTAAGGAAACTTACGGCATTGCTAAACTGTTTCAAAAATGCTAAATGCACTCGATTTCTAGAGGTTTTGAAGAGGGTGGTAAACCTTGATTGCAAAATATTTATATCAGCTGCGATCATTTCTCGGAAATCCATTCTACAGAGTGATCCCAGATTTTTAAATATTTCTAAAATAAAGATGCGTCATTCGAAATTAGAGTAAATTAGAAAACAATTATAGATATATGCAAATACTGTACAATTCTACACACAGACCTATACTTATAGTTTTGTATTATTTATGCTTCTGATGAAATCCAAACCATAAGAAAAACGAGATGAACCAGTGGGAAATTATCCAACTTAACTACAGATGTATAGTCACAGATCCAGTTACCAAAGAAATCCAAAGTAATGTCATGTTTGTCTCCCTACCTTTCATCTGGACTTACGAGCATGCAGATTAAGAGACTAACGTTCGGAGTCAAAAATAATGAGAGCATAAATATTCAGACTACATAGTGCTATCTCAGTAAAGACTCGTAACTACCTGTCATATGCGTTTTTATCACTATTATAAACAGATTTTATCATGTACGGAAAATATGAGCAACAGGTTTGCTGATGCTTTTGTGTGCCGGAGAAAAATTAAACTTTTGGTTTCACCTGTTAGAGCCATGACTGTAACAAGTTCTTACTCAATCAAAGTTTTTTCACTATATTTCCTAATGAAGACTCTTTAGAAGCAACCGTCTTGAAATTCAGCGCATTTCTGATAAGGGTAGACGACCACGTGGGTATTCTTTTTAAAATATATCAAAACAAGATAAGACTGTGTAATCTAAAATCTCCTGACGGAATTTAATAATCTGTACCACATGGGTTATCACCAGCAAATAAATGAATAGCTGCCAAAAATTTAGTTACCTTTGGAGAGAATTCCACGGAAGAAAACACGCCACTAACCACTTAACGATAACGACTGATGTGTTTAAAGAATAATGATTCTTAGGTCATTCAATATTCAATAACAACATTGAAATATGAAAAATTAAATTTCACCACAAGATTATGTTGTCCAATATCGTTTTTACGAGCTAGTATAGATCAACTTGATTTCTTTGTGCTCGCCTCTTGATTCTGAGGTATAGGCTCCTGATCTTCGGTAAACTTCTGCGTAGCTCGTCCCGCCACTCGACTGTCGTAGCTCTGGTTGACTCCAAAGGAGCAGGGCTGGGATTAATTACATGTTGTTTGTAGTATGCGGTGTGTTGGGACTTTGTTATTGCTGTTAGTGGAGTTAATCCTTTTACCGGTTAGTCCTCCGGTATCGTCGTCAAAAGAAAAGAAATAATAATAATTGATATAATTAGTGAAGTTTAATTGTCTACACCTGAATGGTGTATGTGATGTTAAGGAGATAGGCCAGTTGGATGCAGTCCTTGTGTCTCTGCATGACTGTCCAGCCTCCGCTTAAAGGCGTCCACAGACGGTGCCATAGCTACATCCGTCGGTAAGGAATTCCAGGGACGGCAAACCCTCAGTGAAAAGAAGTGGGAGCGCACCCGGGTCCTTGCCCTCTGGTGAGCTATCCTTCTGGAATTTCCACGAGGAGCCTATACCTACTCAATGGCAGAACCCCTTATTTGGGTGATTCTGGTCATTTGTTATTTTGTAGGCAGTAATTAAATCCCCCTTAAGACGACGGTAGCTAAGTTTGAACGGGCCTAATTTCTTCAGCCTTCATCATATGGTTTATTTCGGAGACCAACCACTCCTATTTTTGCCCGTCGTTGGACTCTTTCCAAGAGGTTGGCGCCTCTTCTAAGCGGTGGGGGTGCAATAATATCATGCATTTCAGGGTATGGTCTGACGTATGTTTTGTACAACCTTAGAAAGAGCTCAGGAGTGAGTGCACTTAACTGTCTATGTGTAAAGCCCATAACCGCATATGCCCTCGCTACATCCCCCGTTTAATTTACACTTGTGTCCATATTCTCCGTTAGACCTAGACCTAAGTCAATCTCGGATGTTGTGCAGGACGAGCTTTTGTTGCACAAGGTGTAACTTGAATTCTGCAGCCTACATGTGCGTAATTTCACTACTTTTTCGGACTGAAAGCGGTACCACTGCCCACCGCCCAGTCTTCCAGAAGTTTCAGGTCTGTCTGCCACCTATCTGAGTCTTCCGAACACTTTATCGCCCTCCATATCTCTACGTCGTCAGCGTATAGAACATTCGGGCGGCTTAGAGGGCATGAGAGATCAATGGCAAAAATCAAAAACATCAGTGGTCCTAGGATGGGGCCCTGCGACACTCCAGATGTCGAGCTGTACCAAGGTGATCGAACTAGATTGACCTTAGTGCACAAATGCCTTTTAGCTAGGTAGTCCCTGAGCCATGACAGAAGTGGCTTACCTATACCTGCCTGGCTTATTTTGTGTAGAGAGGGTCATGGTGAACTGTATCAAATGCCTTCTCAAAGTCTAGGAAGACCACATGGGCTGGAACATTCATATCCTAGTATGATGTTCAATCGTCCCAAGCTGAGAGTAGGTTAGTAACGCAGGATCTGCCTTTCCTGAAACCGTGTCAGGCTTCATGGAGTATATTAGACCTATCGAGGTATCCCCTGATGTAATCGTCAATAATACTTTCCAGTACTTTTGATAACACTAGGAGTAGGGCTACTGTGGCATTTTGCCTATCCCCACTCTTGAAGATCGGGGAAAGGATGGCTCTTTTCCACTCCCTTGGCAGTTTCCCGGGATCCATTGGGTGTTGGAACAAGTCGCACATGGGCCTACAGAGAGCTTTGGCACACGGTTTCAGGACAGACGGCCTGATGTCGTTACAACCTGGGGACTTCCCAGGTGTGAGTGTCTGTCCTTCCTGAGTACTATTGCGGGGTTTATTTGGGGAGTAGCCACTAGGTCTTCCTCCTGTGGAATAGTAGTGCCACCACTTTTTCCGTAACAGTAACACCCACACTGCTGTTTAGCTGTTTGGCGAAAGTTAAACTGAATGTTTCAGCCATCTCAAGACTAGTGAGATATTGACCGTTTTGGCCTACTAAGGCGCATGCTTCCTGGTTAGTTGGATTTCTTTCCAACATGAATCGGTACAAGTTTTTGGGGTTCGCCAGGAAAGGAGCATAGAAAAATAAGCTTTTCGATGAATCCCGTAATAATAAGCGGAATTATTCTGGAATGACCTTACACATTCGTGCTCAAAAAAGTATATAATAAACATGAATGTTCCCATAGTAAACACATAAATAAATAAATTTATTCTAATGGTGCATTACATGAGGGACGCCAGTTTACAGGCATCATCAAATTGTTACAGAAATAGAACCATATTATTCAGTCACATTTTACAATCGATAGCAAAATATGTTTAACATGTACACTGGAGATGATAAATACACTTGATAAATGTTAATTCCAATAGTATAAAACATCCTTTTCACTTATGTACAATCATTTCTGTGCATAGTTGGAAAAATCTGCTAGATTGTCAGTGAGTGCAACACATCAGGAAATACAGAAGTATTGTCTTCGCATTAACAAAAAAAACCAGGTCTTTGGTGGATGGGTTATGAGTGCCTGGGAAAAAAAATAAAGCTTGAAGTCAATTTTCGTACATTACATTGTTGTGTGCAGAACCTTTGAATTATAGTTCATTGATGTGTTATTTTGAAATCAGTGATATGTTTATCTCATTTGATCTGCAATGTCATTGTTGGGAGTAAAATACATAAGCTTTAGACGCATTAGTTAATGGATTTCTACTGCTTGTGGGTATTTACTTCTCGTGAGGAAGGTTTTTGAATTTTAGTTGTTCCCACAGGAGTTGTGGATATTGACTGCTCAGCAACATTACGGATATAAGTTCATCACATTATCTCAGGAATGTTGGGTTGTAGTTGATGAGGCATATATGATGTCCGACGAGCGTACATCTGTCCATGTGATGTTGTGGTGAGTTATATCTTTTTCATGTTGTCGGTTTATGTCCATTTTATTCCACTTATTGTGTTGGGTAGAAGTTTTACAAACGAAACTTCTTGTCTATTTGAGGGTAAGTGTCTTAATCGTTAATGTTTTATCTAAAATTATAAATATAGGCAAAAACAACAGGTGTAGTATTTAAGCTTATACATTAAATGGACCTATAATTTCGGAGGCTCTCAGATAGGAACTAGGACTACTGTCGTTTGCAAACTCGTGTAGTTTGTCGTTAAGCACTTTTTTGAAGGAGGCCAGTGTACCTGCTTGACGCATTTCCATTGGTAGTTTATTCCATATCTGTGCATACCTAATCAAGTAAAACTTTTGCCTGATAGCTGTTTTACATTGTTCGATGGCTACTGTACCCTTGGTGTGTCTTAGTTTGTAGCCATTGTCATCTGAAAGTCGAGTGCCATTAGTAGAGGTAAAAACTAAGTGGTTTAGAAGCTTATGGTAAAGTGTTAAGTTTAGTCTCAGGCGTCTTAGCCATAGTGTTTCTAATCCTAGGGTGTCACATCTAGTGGAGTAGTTCGCACCACTTTCGGTTCCGAGTAATTTTGACGTGAAGTACCTCTGCACTCCCTCGACTTTCAATTTGTCCTCTATGCGTATGCTACTATACATGAATGAACAGTAATCAAATAAAGGACGCACACAAACCTTGTACAACAGAATTCTGGACTCATTTCTGTAGAAGTTACATGTTGACCACTTCACCTACTTGGGAAGTTGTATTAGCACCAACGGACTGATTGGCGATGAAATCTCAGCACGGATCCGAAAAGCTCGAGCTGCTTTCGCTGACTTACACCATCTCTGGCGTAGGCGTGACATCCGGTTATCAACCAAGGTACGTGTGTACTGCTCATCAGTTCGCTCCGTCCTTCTCTATGGCTCTGAAACATGGCCAATACGCGTTGAAGACATGAAAAGGTTGACTGCTTTCGATCATAGATGTCTGCGATCTCTCTCTCACGTTAGGTGGTTTCACAAGATAAGTAATGTTGACGTTAGGCGTAGAGTGTTGGGCAAAGAGGGAAAATCAATCGACGAGGCTATAAAGTTACATAGACTGAGATGGCTAGGTCACGTGCTGCGCATGCCTAACCACCGCCTCCCCCGACGGGCTTTGCTAGCTGATATAGGTGAAGGTTGGAAAAGAGCCAGTGGTGGCCAAACAAAAACATGGCATCGA